TTTTAAAAAAGAAGGGGGTATCCATCTAGTATTAATTTTGTGGTCTATTCCATTGGCACTGTTAGCTACCCAGGTATAAATGTGCAGTGAGATTTTCAGAGTTAATGGAACTTCCCTTCCTGTTGGTAGGTCTACCAGCACAGGTTGCCCTGGATAATGTGGGATTTGTTTGGAACCCATTGTTTATTCTACTCCTGGAAGAAGACTCAGGAGTTTCAGGCAGAAGGCAGCAAGTCTTGGGGCATCCATTCACCCCCCACCAACTATTGACTTTGGACACAGCATCCCTCAGGCATCCTGGCCAGCCAGGATCATGCGGCCTTAAGGCACACTTCAAGAGCCCATTAATTGTTTCCACTATCCCATTTACTTGGATAGTAGGGAGTATGGCATGTCACTGTATCCCTTCATGTGTTGCCCATTCTTGGGCAGTGAAGTGGCTGTCATTGTCTGATTATATTGATTTGGTATTGGGTAGGACACTGAACCAAATTTTCAACCCTTTAACCCTATTTTCTCCAGTAGCCTGTGTTACAGCCTCAGACTGGGCAAATCTGGACACTATCTCTACTCCTACTAACACATATTGCTTTCCCTCCAATCTCCTAAAGGGTCCTATGTAATCGGCCTGCCAAGTTTCCCATAAGCCTTTCCCATCTCGAAGGTGGAGTGGAGGATTTTGCAAAGGGTGTTTCTCCAGCTGAGTGTGACATAGGCCACAAGCAGAAATTATGGTACAGCACATCTTTCTAATGATGGACCATCCTCTACTCCCAGCCTCTCTCAGGAGGTCTTTAATCCTGAGTGTCCACATTTCACAAGCAGCCACTCCAATAGATGTTCCCAATTTTCTTCCTCTCCTTCTGTTGCTAAAACAGCCAAACAGGTAATTGAGTCCACTTGGTTGTTCAAAATGTGTGCTGGGTGGTTCCCACCCTGATGGGCAGCTACCCATCCTATTAAGATAGATATTTTCCTAGCTGTTTGCAGGATATCTTCCCACTTTTCCTTTTGCCAGGTAGGTAACTGTTTCACCTTCCACTGTTTTTACTCCCAAAAGGGGAGCCACTCATTGCACCCTTTGAACACAGCATATGAGTCTTTGTAGATATATGTAGGGTCTATGTTATTCCTTTCTCTCATAACTGCACTCCGGACTGTCACCATCTCTCCCACCTGTGCACTGTCCTCACCCTCTGTTATGATTTGTTCTCTAAAGTCAAGATACTGCTCAATATTTCCATACTTTACCTTCCTTTTTTAATGAGGCTTCAGTAAACCACACATTCCTTAACCTGGGCTCATAGGAAGGACACTCTTATATAGGGAGGATGAGCTTCTTTTTCTGGGGAAACAGATGATTTGTCCTGTATTTGAAACAACCTGGGGGCCCCTTCTGTCACTTGGTACATGTGACTGTAATGTTCTAATTGAGCATACCACTTCTAACTGCCTTTCACTGCGCTACTCCCGCAGGAGGTGGTGTACCCGCTCAGACAGGTTTCAGAACTTTAAAGGGTCCTCACAGGACTATGGATTGTTTCCATATGAGTTTTCCAACTTCTTGTAGGGCTAGGGCTAGAACTACCACAAATATACCATTTTCCCAGGTGGAATATGGTTTCTCTGCATACTTAAAAACTGCATGAAAAGAACCCAACAGGACGAATCGGAGACTCTGATCCCTTTTGCCATATATGTATTGATGCTTCATGTATGGCACAGCCCCATTCAGTGTGAACTGGGTGTGTGGGATGGATTGGGCCCAGGGCCTTATATACTCCTGCCTCAAATACCAATAACTTAAGGGCCTCCTCGTGAACAGGGGTCCAATCCCAAGCAGTTTTTTTACATACTAGGTCATAAAGAAGACAAGCTATCATGGAGAAATCTGGCATATGCGTTCTCCGGAAAACCAGTAAGCCTAAAGCATGTTGCAGTTCCTTTTTATTGTCTGGTACTTTTACCTGTTTCAAGTCAATCAGGGTTTTGGGAGGTATGCACATTGTGCCACCTTTCCACCATATGCCTAGAAATTTCACCTCAGGGGCAGGTAACTGTATTTTCTTGGTGGGAATTTGGAGGCCCAATTTTTTCAGGTGGGTAATTATATTTCTTTGGGCTTCCCCCATTGCAGTACCATTGCTCCCCTCTATCAGTACATCATAGATGTACTAGTATGTTTTTACTCCCTCCTTGGGAAAAGGGCTGGGCAAGATCATAGTATATATTATATCATATCATATTATATTATGATATCATGCCTTTAGCACCATCTTCACTAGGAAAAAATCTGGGTGGCAATTGTTCATGTTCAGATGGATTATTTTGTTGGTTCACTTCTGGGTCAAGATTGATGCTAGAGAATTTGGGACATATATATTTATTGCTCAGCCAGGCCAAAATAAGTTGTTGTATTAGACTACTAATGATCAATTTTTATGTTGTCAGGAGTCTAGTGTGAAGTGAAGATTACAGAAAAAAAAGAGAGCTATATACTTTTATAGCAAGTTACAAACTGGCAAGTATCTGATTTTAAACTTTACCACACCTGTGACACTGTCTACAAAGTCTCCAGTTCTTTCAACTGTATGTCCAGCTCTGAACTATTCCACTGACACACACTTCTTGAACAAGTCAAAAAACTTCTAGTTTCACATCTTCTAGTGAAATTTCATATAAATATCTAGCTATATGGCTTACAATAATTTGTTTTTCTAATCAGTTTTTTTAAAAGTCTTTTCTTCATTATATATTCCACAAAACATTAACCTTCAAATTAAAACCAACCAACCAAGCAAGGTAATGTCACTGTAATAAGTAGAATAGGGTTTCATAAGGAGCAGAATTTCTCCCACAAGTTGTTTCTACCTTAAAGCTAGTTCATTATTATTAATTTTGTTATCTAACACAGATTGTAATGATTTTGCATTAGTTTCTTATATGCTTTCAAGAACTCTAGACAAGAATGTTATGAAGTAATTATAAGAAAGTAGAAAACAGAAAAGCAGAATAACTAGCAGATAAACTTCTGCTGAATAACTTTGAAATGGTGATGTTTGCAATGATATTATGTTTTGCAGAATCATCCTACAACTTGCATGGGATATTTTCTCCCATCTTATCTTTTCCAGAGTTATAGTCAGTTCTAGAATGATAATAAGAGAACCAAAGATTATTTTTAATCAGGATATCACAAAATTAATTTATATTTCATCTGTTAAAAGCTTGATATTTTTCCATATTGAGTGGTAAAATAGGCATAGTGAATAGCTCCACTGTGCATTTAAGCTTGTTAGTAAACTGATAGTCCACATCTACTGTGTGGGAAGGAAATCAACAACTGGAGACTGTGTGTCATGGACTTTTGCAGATGATAGTGAATGACAAAGACTCCCAGCACATGTGACAAATCATAAGATAACATCCGAAACCTTGTTTTTTCCAGTTTTGCTAGTTTGGGTAATTTAGGACTCAGTTGTTTATGCAAAACTGTTGTGAAAGATCTGTCAGAACTTGTTCTATCCTCCATATCAGTTTTGCAAGGAGAAATACATAGGACCTGATTCCGTTTTACTGTATTTACTTTAAATTTACATTTTTCTACTGATTCAGTATACTGAAATTACGTTACTGTGCCACAATTATGTATGATAGAATAGGCTTATGTGTTACTAACTATTGAGGGACAAGAAAATCATTATCATTTACACATTATCCAAAATCTACCCAATCCTGTATCTTTCATACACAAATCAGTGTTCAGTCATACTGCACAATGTAATTCTGAAACATGGTTGATAACAGAAAACCTGATAATTATTTTATCACTCCCATTTTTAAACTAGGGAAAGTTAAGTCCCAAGGAAACCCATATATGACAAGAAAATTAAACCAAGGAGACATTTTAAATGAGAAAAATATTTTCTTATGCAATTATTTAAAATAAAAATGTATCATCTACTTAAACAAACATTTTCAAGCTGTAAATTAAATGTTTATTGCTTTTAACTAAGAATGTTACAAATCAAATCTAAATTACTATGGCTGATAAAAAAAAACCCAAAACCAATGTGATTTACCCACACCAATAGCAGCAATAGTCATGAGTATCATTTATCATGTGTCAGTGCAATATATTATATATACAAACTGTTATGCAACAACAATAAATTTACCCAGGCAAAGTTCTTTTTCATATGAAAACTATTCCATTACAAACAATAAACCTAGGTCACAAAATGAAAGACTTTAAGACAAAGAAATATATAAAACTTCTCTCTGTTGAGATATTTTTACTTTATACCTGATTCTGTCTTTTAACTACCTTTGTTTTAAACTAATTTTTGTTTTAAATGGTATAATGGAGAAAATTGGTGTTATTTTATGTTCATTTAAGCTATTGCCAAAATTCCATTTATTTAACAGAAGACAGTATAACCAAATAAATACTAATATTTTTCATATGCTTATAGGAACTAAGAGAAAAAAATAGTTTTTTTATGAATTAAAGTAAATACTTATTTCTTGGTGTTACAACTTGGACTGGAAGCCCAGAGAGTGATAAAGGTTCTGTGATCCCCTTGGGTTAAATGGAAGTGAAATCACACCAGAAAACCAGTTAAAATATTTTACTTGACATAGAAATGGCTTAAAATCGGATAAGGATAATAAGCAATGTAATCTCTTAGAAATCTATATGAAAGAAAAGAAAGGAAAGAAAAGAAAAAGAAAGGAGAGAAAGAGAGTGAAATGTTAAGGCTTGGACAACCAGCCCAAGCCAGATTTGACCTATAGATGAATCCTGTATATTTTATAACTGATGACTATTGTGCCAATAGGTGTATGTAGTCATTAGTGAAATATGCGTAGAAGATGTATCTAAAACATGTCTATCTTGAATATATCCTTATCTTTCTTAGTTTGAATGTATCCTTATCTTGCTTTGTGTGTGAGCAAGATAACAAGGCCACAGAGACAGTTATCTGGCCTTGTGACCTGATGTGTGACCTTGATCATAAATCAACTAGATAAGCGGAGGAACTCCCTGAGCTTCTCCCCTGAGCCCTGGGCAGGCTCTGAGGGAATCTAATGTGAGACTGAAACCAGATATTTCCGCTCAGAACAAAGGTGCCAGCTGTTCTGGCCTGTCCATCTCTGGTCTATAAGGCCGGGCCCGTTTGCAGCGACGTTGGCAGCCTCACCTCTGGGTGGACGCCCCGCGTAGGATTTCCCCCTTGCCGGGACAGGCTCTGCAAACCCTCGCTGTAACCGGGGCTGCCCAGCCACTGCGGGGATGGGGATGGGAACGTGTGCAAGTGGGGATGGAGCTGTCTTCATCACTGTTCTCTATTCTCTCTCAGGTAGTAATGATTGGATGCATTACCCTGTATTTTCCTATTTGTTTAAGTGCACTATTCTGTCTTTTCTTACTGTATGTTGTCTATATTGTTCTGTTACATTATTTAGCTATTTCCATTAAAATACACCTGCTCTTTATACTCTAGTGTCTGAGTTTAATTGGTATCCCTAATCATCAAAACAGTCAAAGAAATAAAGATCACCACTCCAGGTTCCATCACTGGTTTAGGTCCTGTAATCTTGGGTGGTGGGTGCACACACAGCAAAGTTTCTGTCACCTTTTAAGTTCATTTTGTCAGCTGATTATCATACTAGAGGCAGGTAATCCTCAAACTCATTTCCATAAGAGACAAGTAAAGAGCTGGAGCATGGGTTCTGCATATACATTGAGGAGGAATGGAGTGCACCAACCCCCTTGTCCAGCTGAGTCAGTGGTTGCGCTCACCCTGCCACCTTTACTTCTCCCCAGTTTTCACAGATTTTTGCTGACTTCGTACTTCTTGAGCAATCATCTTGTTTCTGGGGCAGGATGCCCACTTCTTATCAGTCCTTATCACCTCTTCAATGATAAATCATTAGCAAGGCCTGGATTTTATCAGGCTTACACAATAGAGCCACAAAGTAACAGGCTTACACAATGAAACCAGTCATTAGTAGTCCTTGTGCTTGATGAGAAACATTTGTACAGGGTGCAAGGCTCCAATTCCCCCTTTTGAGACTTATCGAAGGAGCTTGACTATATAACCTCAAGAGTGGGGACTGCATCCTTCGATACACTCTACACTTCCTTGGGTGGCATTCCTTAGACTAATCACAAAGGTCACAGTTTGTCTATAAGGTTTCCTGGGTTGATGAATGATTGGGGAATTAATTCCTTCAGTTCCTTACACTTGGTAACTTTAATTATCAGAAGGTATGGACAAAATGAGCTAAGCAAATAGACCACATCTATGTTGCATAGATAGAGTAATAAATATAATAATTTTGTCACATTACAAACATAATCGTTTTTCCTGTGCTACAAGCATAGTCATCATACTCACACCTTTGAAGTAATAAAACCTTGGAAACAGATTTTTTTTCAAAATTCAAAACTAGTATGCAGTATCCCATAACATTTCATGTTATTCTTGATAATTTTTTGAAGTATTCACTGAGAAAACAATATTTTCTGTATTCTTTTTACATATAATAACTTTTTTCTTTCTAAGAGACAGTGAATTGTTTTAACACAATTTCTTTTGGTTTCCGTTTCAGCGCTGGTTCCCTCTGTTGTATGGCCTTTATACCTGAACAAATAACTTTTACAGGTTCCAAAGAATTATTGAAGCTATACTAACATTACAAGTCTAAATTAAAGAGTAATAAAAATATAGTCTATGTACTCATCCCTTCAGAACATCAACCACTATCTATTTTGAGAGTCACACTTGTTTTTAGCTAGAATAAAAAGCACACAAGAATTGAATTTTTGTTCTGATGACCTTTCTCACTTAGTGCAACATCCATTTCCTTTCTTTTCTCTATTTTCCCTTCTTCCAAGCATAAGCTTTAATTTCACTACCTCATAGGAAAAGACAACTTTTAACAATTTTGTCCCAGTGTTTTTCATAAGTGTAGAAGTATAAATCTAACCTTTAAAACAGTTATGACCTTCTTCTGTTTTGATAGTCATGTCAAAATAATGGACTCATTTTAATAGGTTTCCATCAGAAACTATTGCTATCATGAAATTTTCACAGAAAGTGCAAGGGATTTTTCCCTACTGGCTACCTTATTAGATATGCTTTCTAATACTTCTTCCTCATACTCCAAGCTGTCTTGGCTCTGACAGTTAGCAGCCTTCAGTCGTGTACTTCATTCATGCTAGTACCTAAATCAAGAGAACTGTCTTTTCTACACCAATTTATGTTGTTCCTCCTTTTTCCCCACATATTGCCAGTTTTGTGACTGTCAAGTACACAACAAATATTCTCAGTATTCCTTTAAGAATTGTTGTCATTGGCTTATTTCTTCTCTGGATACCAGCAGAATTTTTCTGTTTAAGAATATTTTAACAGGACAGTGTCCACAATAACTAGCTATCTTGTCTACACAGTAACTTAGTAATAAGCCAAAAAAAAAAGTATTTGCACCGGCAGTCTCCTTGTGGTAAGTGAAAATGAAATCTCCAAGTTGCTGGCAGGACTGGTGTGTTCATCCCCCATGCAGGTAGCATGCTCAGTGAAGTGCCACATGATGGACCACAAAGTGATTTTTAGACCAGAGCAGACTCTGTGCAGTGTGTCCAGCCTTCTTTAGTTCCAAGAAGACATATACTTTTCTAGACTTAGGAAAAAACTAAGCCTTCTCTGAAGAATACTACATCTGACTTTTGCTTATGAATGTCAAAAATGGAAGCAAAGCACTGAATAATTTGTTCTGTGAAAAAAACATCTGCTTGACAGTAAGAGCTTTGCTGTTTCCTAAGAACTTCTTTGCCCAAGTTTGCCTAGGTTTAATCTGAAACTGTGCCGTCTAGTAGCTTAAAATTAATAAATTCTAAAATGTTTTGAAACATATTTATGATTCAAATAATAATAATAAACAAAAAGAAATCCCCAGAACATTTCTGACCAATTTTGTTCTTGAATGCCCAGTAGATTTGTTCATTTATCCAAGAGTTATTAGCCATGCAAAATTTGCTGTTAGTGGGAGAGGAGACAGAGGAGATAATGTCCTAATTGTTTCTGCAGTGCTTATTTACATGACAAATATGGACAACAGGAGTGAACAGCCTGATATATATACACTCCTGAATATCCCAGTAGTTACTGCACTTGCGGTACAGATTACAGGCATTAAACATGCTTCCTGTTTTCTTTTTATTCCAAAAAGCTGTCTGTGACACATGTAACTCTTAAATCCAGGAATCATATGCTGCTCTGGGGAAAAAACAAAACAAAACAAAACAAAACAAAAAATACACACCAAAAAAAACCCCAACAACAACAACAACAAAACAAAAACAAAAACAAAAACAAACCTCAACCATACTGGTTCATTATTAATTTATGCTTGCTTGTCTTCTTGGGGTTAAAATTCAGGAAAGGTGCCAACATCCATTTTTCTTAGTGCATGTCCCCTGAAAGAAGACCTCAGATATGAACACCTAATGGAAAATCATTCTGTGACACTGACTCACCCTTCTTCCATGTTGATACTGATTTGGACAAGCAATGCTCATCTTTTTTAATTAGAGAATTTTTCCCATGTAGTGTGAATTCATCTTCAATATACTCCATACGGGTTGATCAGTCTTCCTAAATTAAGTTTTTTTATTATTCCATAATAGATTAGTGAAAGCATGGGTCATCTTTCCTTGATATTTTCTCAAAATATATCAACATGTTCCAGTTATATTCTAGTATGCTTAGACAATGGACAGAAATCCTGTGATGATCTTAGTTATTGAACCTATTAATTACATGATAAAAAAAAAAAAAAAAAAAAAAAAAATGTAGCAATATGTAAACTCGATAAATATTTTCACTACTTGAATGTTTAGGTTAACTTTTTCAACTTATATATAAAGAAGCTTGCAACATATGTTATTTTGACTTTGTACAGCACAATATTCTCCTGCAATTGTATTTTCTTGATACAGTACTATTATTTACTAGTGTGGGTTGGGGGTTTTTTCTGCATCCATAGTTATGTGATCATGATTTCACATATCATCCTGGATCCCAAGGGATATGACAGTTTTGAACAGTTAATGATCTGTCTCATAATTATCCAGAACTGAATACTGTGTATGTTGGCATATTGCAATAAATTTACATACTCATAAGCTAGGAGGGCCATATGTTTGGGTTTTCTACTTAGAGATGTATCCTGGTGGAATTTCTTACGTTTGCTCATTTATCTCAGAGTTCTGATTTTATAGGTAGATTAGATACAGCGCATTTAGCCTCGCCTCAACGTATGCTCATTTCAGCCTTCAGTCTGGTCTCCACACCTTCATCACTTGCCATCTCTTGAGTTAGCAACAAGAATGGCTGAGTGTGGAAAGAGAAGCAGCACAGCTTTAACACATGTACAGGTATAATAGATGGGTTTTAATGGAGCCTGGGCACTTAGCACATGCAATCAACTGTGAGTTCACAGGAATGAATTGCACATAAATCAAGTCAGAAGAAGAGATTCAAGTTGCATTGTAAACTTGATGTTTAAAATCTCAACACAGAAAACACTGGGAACTGCACTTGGTGGTTTGGCAAGAGTTTGGATCTTCTGTGACAGGAACAGCTAGGGAAGATGAATAAGAATGTAAATTATCTGAGACAGTAGAGTTTGGTTATCATTATGAAGTTTTCTCTGACTGAGTACTTCTTGTCTTTTGGGGGACACACAAACAATGCATAATGTCTGTTCCCAGCTCTCTGTCTCCACAAAAACTCTGCCACAAATATCCTTTCCCTGTATTTGCATACATTTATTTTTTTTAACCTCAGAAGTATACTAGTGCTAGTAAATATACTAGCTGCAATCACTGCATACCAAAGACAAAATTTTCTAAGTGTGCTAATTAGAAATCCAAGACATTCTGAGTGCTTCACATCTGAAGTAAGACTTTCTCCCCACAGAATTAGCACTATTATGCAGTTAAGTAGAAGAGATTTTGTTGGACCTAGGTAGATAAAACAACTCCCAACTTTTAACATCTTCATCACAAATGTACTGAAAGTGGTTTTAATATAGTGCATGAATCGCATACTGAGTTTAAGGAGATATAGCGAGTTTT